GACAAGGCTGGAATACCTCAGCCTCCTTTAGCAGCCCCCCTTCCCCTGTGTCACCACGCAACACTATTCCCCATATCTATTGTGACAACACAGCTCTAGGCAGCTAGAAATACCTGAGCATATGGCGAAAAACCCTTGTGAATTAGGAGAGAATAAAATATCAAACAAACCCAGTTTTATCTTGGCATTTGAACGATAACAATTTATTTACTATCACCATCATTGTCATCATCATCACTATTATAACGGAAATAATAATAATAATCGTGGTGATAATCTCCATCACTTTCATCATCATCATCATCATCATCATTTTTGTTTCCCTACATACCCTTCCACGTCCATGACAGTTATAACAACGCTTGTAACCACCTCCAAAGCACTCATGACAAGGCTAAAACGAGATAAACAGTAATACAATAATTAAAAACTCTCTCAGATACATCTTGTGTTTACAGGGTTTGTGCTACATTTCACTACAAAATTTAACTCATGATAGGTTGCGAAGTTTTCCAACAGTAAAACAAAACCTTACCTAACAACAGAGCTGCTGTACTTGAGCAGCAATCAAAAAGCWGGTTTCGATTGRTACTGCATTACTTTAAAATTCTAGGACTTTCCAAGTACTTTAATTTTAAGCACAAAAATGCAATTTTCAAGGACTATTTTTGAAGATATCTTTTGATGTTTGCAGACGTTTTCCTTTGGCAATTTTCAAAAATAGCCACATTTCAATCCAAAAGCTAACRARAAACATATCAATTTCATCAAATTCAAGAAGCATTCCAGGAGTTTTAGCATTTTCCCATTTCAAGGGCTTTTCAAGCATCCTTGAAAACGAGTTTTCAATTCCAGGACTTTKCAAGGATTTCAASGAGTAGCAYRAAMCCTGGRTTAGTATAAACAATTAGCCTAACTTCATCACAAATGCCTGGCAYTTCATWMTAATCAAARSTAAAATACCTTGAGGACAGCAGTGTGYGGTACTTCGATCTTTACTGTAGCATCTTGGAAGTTCTTGGGTGGGTTGGCAGGAATGCTCCAYGGAGGTGGTGGGGGACCATTGTTGGGGCCATCAATGGGCTGTCCTGATTTATAAACGGACTTTRAAAAACCTTTGTACTATTTACTACTAAATTTAGCAGATAACTATTAGTATATCATCTTGTTTTTATGTAAATGTTGTTAGTACTATTTTCAATAGTCTTCTTCGTGGTTACCTGCGCCATCTTGAAAGGTAGCCGTGCCTTTGCATAGAAAAGATGACCATTGAGCGTGCAATGATAGAAACCTTCTTTCAAACCTACAGACGATATTTTCTTTAAGTATCTATCATTGTACACTCAACAGTTGTCTCGCTTCGATGTAAAGGCACGGCTACCTTTCAAGATGGCATATGTAACCGTGATGGAGAATATTGTCTGATTAACTGATTGACTTAGACGACAAAGTATCAGGTTTACTGTTTCACTATAAGACTTCAAAGTGTCTAGTTAACAATGGCAATAATGTCTGGTTAACTGATTGACTTAGAGGACAAAGTTCCTGGTTTACTGTTTGACTAACATGCCAAAATTGTCTGGTTTGACTAAGAATGGACAGCAATAAATCATAGTGTTTGCACTCTATTTACCTGTATAGGGCTGGAAAGCATAGGCTGTAGCTCTTCCTTCACAGAAACTTGTCAAAGAATACTAAAAAACATAAATATTCATAAAGTTATATCCTCATTAACAAGTTATTTTGTGCATGTACATTAACATACATTGTACTTGTAAAAATGCACTAAGTGAAACCTATTATTGCAATCATCCCAATCAACCCAAAATAYGTTAAATTTTTGCACTGCTGTTTATTTCCTTGAGAAAATGTTTTGTTAAATGATTGGGATTCTAAGAATGTGGCCCTGGATGCCTCATTTTGGTGCTAAGTCCCAATTCTCTCTCGGCCATCAGCCACTATGGAATAAGATGTACATGTATAGCCAAAATCAAATAATTAAGCATAATGATTATTAATAAGACCATTAAATAAGGTCTTTCTTACATGGTAGGCACAGGTTGGTTGGATGTCCTTGATATCCATATCTTTGGCAGCTCCTTTGCCATAGCAACAGTGATCACCAGCAAACTTTAGCAAGGCATTCCTGGCTTGATCATCAGTTATTGATGTTGCCCTGCAATTGAACAAATTGAATCAGAGCTCTCCTGCAGTACATTAATAACCATAAATAATAGTATGAATAACACTAAGAATGAAGTCATGTGGAGCCATGCATGGAATTATTTGCCTTTTAACAAATCGAAATCGCTTTTCTATGGTCTGTACGCTTATCGAAAATGAAAATGACATCAGAAAATGATCAAAACTCAAGTGGAACCACGAGCGTAACTTTTTTACCATAACAAAGCCAAAAACAAAGTAAAACTTTCAAAACAAAATCGTTTCTGGCGCACACTGGTTCCGTGCGCGAGCGATTGCTCATTTCATTGATCTGTCCTATGATCGACAACAGCTCTCGACCAATCAGCGCGTGAGAATTCCACAAGGTATAGTAAAAATGCCATTTTTCTTGTGAAGTTATATGCTCCTAAAAACATTTAAAGAGTGCAGGAAAACTAATTATTGGTCTATTAATGGTCTCCTTCATGGTTTCCTGTGGTATCTTGAAAGGTAGCCATGGCTTTGCATCTGAGCAAGAAGACCATTGAGCAATGATATAAACCTGTGAATAATTGCCTGTAGGTTTGAAAAGTTGCTATCACTGCATGCTCAACAGTTGTCTCTCTTTGCTGCAAAGGAACGGCTAGCTTTCAAGATGGTGCAGGGATGTGTGTACTTTTTGATTATCAATATAATAAATAAAATAAGTCTGGGGTTAAATGTACTGGGAATTTGGACCTATTGTTCTCCAAAGCACAGTTAAGATAACAGCCAATTCATCGAATGATGAGGCAAATAATAGTCTCCTTCACGGTTACCTGCGCCATCTTGAAAGGTAGCCGTGTAGCGCTTAATAGTCTCCTTCACGGTTACCTGCGCCATCTTGAAAGGTAGCCGTGCCTTTGCATCGAAGCGAGACAACCGTTGAGCGTGCAATGATAGAAACCTTCTTTCACACCTAAAGACAATTATTTACAGGTTTCTATCATTGCATGCTCCACGGTTGTCTCGATGTAAAGGCACGGCTACCTTTCAAGATGGTGCAGGTAACTGTGAAGGAGACTATTCTAGCAAAATGAAGAATATCTTTGCAATGACAATAAATTTTTGATAGATTTGCAAAGAAGAACTGTACRCAATATTGACTTACTGACTGAAGTGCTGTTCAGGTCTGTTCTCCTGCTTTGGTGGTTCATACGCAGGTGGTGGTGGCAAAAACGGAGTTCCTTATTTAACAAAAAAAAAATACGATACAGTACATCATTCATCAAAATGACACAAACATATATGGTGCTTGATGAAATCTAGAATACAGCCGTTACGCGTAGACTTAGACCTCTCCATTTAAGAATTATCACTCTTCAACACAAAGAATTTGAAAACGCTTTGACCATTCTTGGCTAGTATTGTCGATATTCGAGGAAACCAATTCATGTTGGGGGAGGAGCTATCCAATGGTAGTCATGGAAATGTCTATGCTTGACTTCGGTAAAATGCATGAATCCAGAAGGATTTTTCGCTCAACTACGTGTTATCTGTAACGGCTGTAAGCTATTCTTTCCTTTTGTTTTACCATTATGTCATGTAGTGTTTTTTTTTTCAAATTTTTAAAAGCATTTTTCTAGAAGCTGATGTCCCATTTATATCAACGTACCATAGTTCATGTTTTCATATCCAGGCAGTGGTCCAAACAGGCTTGGTGGAGGTGCCGAGGGAGCCGGTGGCCCAGCATTATCGTTCCCTTCAACATCYTGATCAGGTATATCAGAACCAGTGTAAGTAGGTGTATCAACATCACCTGAGGATCAAAACAAATACAAAAGTTTTTATTCATTGTCTGGACTGTGTATTTTCAATGTTTTTAAAAGCCTTTTTAATATTATCAAGAGTGAAAACTAACGCAAGGAAGTTATGAATCATTTTGATGTTTTGACGCTATCTGGCGTCATTCTCAAGAGAAAATAGAATGATAATTCAAAAAGCAAAGTTATAAATTTGAGTGTAAAGTCCCAAGAGGGTAGAGTTAGTAAAACATACAAAAAATGCTATAATTAAAATCTTTAATGGATTACAATAATAATAAGCAATAACAGACCTCCCAAAGAAAGATTTGTAGCTCCATATCCCTTTTGGGGTTGTGCCCCTCCTTGTTGAGGGGGATACCCTCCTTGCTGTGGGGGATACCCTCCTTGTTGGGGTTGATATCCTCCTTGTTGTGGGGGATACCCTTGTTGTTGAGGGGGAAGTCCACCTTGTTGATAGCTTCCTTGAGGAGGAGGATATCCTCCATGCTGCTGGGGAGGTCCTCCTTGAGGGGGATAGCCCCCTTGTTGAGGAGGTGCTCCATACTGAGGAGCAAAGCCTACTGGTGGCTGATTTGGCTGTCCTGGGTATGGACCTTGCTGTGGAGGATAGCCACTCATCTGTAGTAGAGAAATAAATAATATATGATAAATAAAAATATTGAATCAAGTACTGAAAAACTGAAAAACGAACACAAAAAAGTGATTTGAATGCCTATGACAGTAACTGTTGTACATGTTGTAAGAATGACATACCGTATTTAAGAAGTCATAGGCACTTTAAAAATGATATAGAAAATTAACATACATGTACCATTAAGCTGCTTTGATATACCAACCTGCTGTGGTAGTAAAAATTGTTACTATAAAAGAAAAGCATACTTGCACCATTTTGTGCGTATTTTGTGCTTTTAAATAAGCGCCTCCCTGCCGCCTCCCCCAAATAAGCACCCACCTCAGACTCAAGAAATTAAATAAGTGCTTATTCGAGAAAATAAAGTATGCACTTTGCTTACATCAAGTAATAATGCAGTAATGCTCAGATTTTGTTCAGTTTTGAGAGGAAAGTCTTGAAAGCAGTTGATGAAGCTTGCAAGTTCCCCTRGGAATTGTCTTCTTAATTTGCTAACAGGGTACAGAGTTTAACAATGATACCAATCCCCTCTACGTGGGAATTTTGACTCAGACAACTTTCTTTAGCTTTTTGATCCTGCAGTGACGAGATTTGAATGGAAACTGTGACCCAAGTAATGGAAAGTTGACTTTTGTAAATCTAAAAATGACAAATTCGCCAATTCCTTGGTAATTCTCATTTATACATTTAATTTTATTCTTCATTGTGATTCTGACAGAATTTGAAAATCATCATTTAMTGAGCCAGAAAGTTGATAAAGTCAATCAATGTTCAAAAATAAGTAGTTAAGTTATAAAACCCAAGGTCAGCCAGCAGGTGGGGTATATGTGGGAGTGATATAAGCCTAAGTAATATACAACTTCCTGTGGTATATAAATTGATACAAAACCTAGCCTTATAGATAGTTTACACAATTAATGCATATCAAATCATTTAATCCACTGCACATTGATAGCAAGTAATATTAAAAATAATGAAAATATCTAGACTTAAATCATCACAAGACATTCGTGCAATCATAAGCTTATAAAAAGTAAGCTTAAGCTTAATATTTTTCACTTGATCATGCAGAGATTCTAAAACCTTAAATCTGTTAACACAAACATACTCGYCCTTACAAGCTTATTGTATAAACACCAACGAACTATAGCTATTGAAAGATTATTTTGAATGCAAGCTTAAATAATCGAGAGAATATTTATAAACAAAACAAGTGGAAGACAGCCCACCAAGTGAAACCGAATCATGTGCTTGGTACGGTCAACAAACGTAAGCCAGCGAGTAAATATTAAATAAGCTCATAAAATTACTCTTTCCTTTTCCTAAAACACCATCAAACACTTAGTTGTTGTTCCTCATATTGCAAATGYTAAAGAAACCAAAAAAGTCCCACGAGGCATGAGTTTGATACAAAGAAGGGAGCCCAAAGAATAGCTCGATTTAGGTGTTGGAAAAAATTGCATAATTATGAAATGCTAAGTTGACTTCTTCTAATCAAAATATATTACTTTACCTTTAGAAAGAAACGTGTGGATCTTTTGTTCGACTTCTTGTAAGAGTACTTAGGTTTAGCAAGTATAGAATAAGACCGATTGCTCGTATCGCTCACGGAATTGCACCAGACTATAGCTCTTGCCCCTCGACCTCAGACTGCCGGCCCACGTCGGTCATTGTCATGGTAACTTTAGTTAAGGTGGCTCGAGGGTATTTTAATTTTTTGATTTTATATTTATTCAATCCTCTTCTTCTTCTTTGAACCATGAGTTTAAGTGAGAAAAGCAAAATGTGATCTTTCAGGTTGATTTTATTCCAATCTTTGATTTGTAGACTCAATCGAAAATAATCTTTCTCTATGACGTCATTGGGATGTATGCCGCAACAACACCATCACTCATTTTCCARARAGTCGTTTGGTTTAATCTTGCCTATAGGCATACCAYTCTTCCAAAGCATTAATCAAGACAGCAGATAACGGTGATTTTGCAAAGAAACTTCATCCTCAGTCCCAGAGTCAAAGACAAATAGAATAAATTTCGTATGAGTGGRAAACGGACGGTACTGTACTGTAACYGTAATCGTACTGTAACCRAATTCTAGTGCSCCATTGGTTCACAAAAATTGTGCAGGCCAGGTCCGGTAACTGTGCGGTAACCGTGTGGTAATTTCTACCCGTACGTTTCCCACTCATACTCTATCCGCCATTATACAATTTTCTCGATACCATGATGCATTTCAACGAACACCATTGTTTACGATTACGGCGTGAATGATCRATGCGAGACCAATGGAAATAGTGGCAATTCCTAATTTCCAAAGAAACTCCAGTCTATATTATAAAAAACTTCTATGAATCAAAAGGCTCAATAACTACAAATGAGCTTTCAGTAAGTCCCCGCTTCCATCAAATAGACAGGCTGAAATTGGATTAAAAGCAACTATTGCCTCAATGGCAGCCGTTCCATTGTGCCGTCAWTAAATGCTTTCTTGTACAATTGTAGACTCTCA